TTTCGCCTCAACAATGAGAGAAAAGTAACACAGAGCCAAGGCAGGAGAATCACAAGTTCAGGCACATCCCAGGCAACTTAAATGATTCAATGAGATCTTGTCTCAAATGAAAAATAAAAAGAACTTGGAATGCAGCTCATAAGAAGACCCTTGGTCCATACTCAGCACACACACACACACACAAAGACATTATACACAAGTGTAATCACTGCAGTCTTATTTGAAATAATGCAAGCTGAAAAAACATCAAATACAGAAGAGGGAGTATTTAAAAGAGGAACTTTTCAATCACCAAAACAGTGTATAACATCTAAGTGTATGGGTTGGAGAAGTAGTTCAAGGGTAAAGCATTTGCCTAGGATAACTAAAGCCTTGTGTTCATCAGAAACATAAAAAAAGTAAACATGGACCTAACAATAATTATAAACTATGATGTAGAAAATATCTCTGTACAGAGGAAGAGGACATTTATAACACTTGTATGATCTGTAGGATGATAGTATTTGCGAGTGAGGTTTTTCCTTTACATCTGCAGAATATACAACTAGAGGGGATATCCAACAGGGCTGAGTAAAGAGCCACAGGGAGCAACTCAGAGAACATCAACTAAAAACAGGTAATTTGAGCAGGGGAGTAACATACATCCACCCTGATACGAAAAATCAATTTGAAAGAAGATACTTACAGATCAAACAAAATGTAAGTATAGGAAGTTAAACAGAGAAGTAGCTGTCCAGAGCTGGTGGGCTGAGCTCCTGACCTCACCCAGCCCAGGAACAGTCATTTTGAGAACTTCTCATATAGCTGAAGGGATCCAAGCAGTGCAGCAGTTTAGTCTCACAAGATAGACTGGGGGTGTATGAGCCCCTTCATCCCATCATCCTCTCTCCAAACACTGAGCAGGAAGCATTTTTGCTAGCACACATCAGGGGCAGGAAATGCTCCCTCCACACATGCCCAATCTGACTTTGGGAGGATAAACAAGTGAACACTGTCTAGTCATCAATATTGGACCCTGAGCATACCTGAGACACCACCAAGTGACTCAAGTTTTTCCTACGCCAACTAGGACACTCACCCAAGCACACAATGTTAACATTAGTCATATCTGAGTCCATGCCCAGCACCTGGGCTCACCTGAGTCCATACCCAGCTCCAATGGCCCTGCACCACTTAACAGACCATCCAAAGACTGTCTCACATCTCTCACCAGTCCTGGCCAACTTGAGTTTCCACGGGGAGTTCCAATCTTGTATGAGTCTCCTGCTGGTGTGCCTGACCTGTGGGAGTCCAAGGTATACTGCCCCCAACTCCTGAGTGCAACAGAGTCTCCACCATGTACATCTCCGGGGTCCAGGTGAAGTCCTTATCCAGAACACTAGATAAGTCCTCTCGTGGGTTAGCAGCTAGAGCTAAAGGTTTGCTGACTTACCCTGTGCTCGGGATATCCCTGAGACACTACCCTGTGCCCCACACCCTCATTAGGCCTATCAGAATCTTAAACACATGGAAATTAAGTAACATCTTCTTGAATACGAATGGGTCACAAATGAAATTAAAGAGGAAATTAAGACAGTTTCTACAATTAAATGATAATACCTGTACAACATACCAATGCGATGAAATGAAAGCAGTCCTATGAAGGAAGTTTATCACAGTGAATTACCACATCAGAAAGAGTGAGCTCAAATAAATAAACTAATGATCAATCTCAAGGTTCTAGAAAAATAAGAATTATGGCATCCGAAAGCTAGTACAAGGAAAGAAATTAAAAAGATCAAAGCAAAAATTAATGCAATTGAGGCTACAAAAAAAAAAAAAAAGCCAATCAATGAATCAGATTGGTTCTTTGAAAAACTGAATAAAATAGACAAACCCCTAGCCAACCTTATCAAAACAAGGAAAGACCCAAATCCATGCAATTAGAAATTAAAAAGGTGGCTCCTACAGAAATCCAGAAGTGCACTGGTACCTACTTTGAAAACCTATACTTTAATAAAATGGAAAATTCATAATTAATGGGTAGATTCCTAGATACACATGAATTACCAAAGCTGAACCAAGATACAAAAATTCTAAATAATCCAATATTAGTCAATCAATTGAAGAATTAAAAAAAAAACAAAAAAAAAACCAGACTACTAACTGGGGGAATAGCCTAGGTCCCAATGGGATTCACTGCTGATTTTACAAGAATCTTAGACAAGATTTAATGCCATTTACTCCCCAGACTCTTTAACAAAATAAAAAAGAAAACAGTACTCTCAAAGTTTTCCTGCAAGCTAGCATTTCCCTGATACCAAGACGAAAAAAGGACCTTACCAAAAAAAGAGAATGGTAAGCCAAGCTCTTTAATCAACACAGATGCAAAAATCTTCATTAAGATATTGACAAACATAATGCAGCAAATCATGAAAAAGATTAAACCATGACAAAGTACGATTCATCCCAGGGATGCAGGGATGGTTTAACATAAACAAATCAATACATGTAATATACATTAAAAGACCCAAGGATAAAAACTATATGATCTGGGCTGGGGATTTAGCTCAGTGGCACAGTGTCTACCTTGCAAGGGCAAGGTTCAATCCTCAGTACCAAAAAAAAAAAAAAAAAAAAAAAAAAAAAAAAAAAAAAAAAAAAAAAAAAAAA